AGCCCACAGATACCGCACTAGCTGATCAGGGTTGGCAAGTAAACCTTGCTGGTTGAGCTTCAAACGTCTAAGGCGTGGCTAGATCAGTACACTGTTGGGTATGACATGAATGGGAAAGTCTTGACTTACTTGTCCTTGTTCAGCTTGTCTCCAACAATGAAGCAAGTGCCATCGGGCACGAACACCTCAAAGGTCTCGGCAGAGGACATAGTTGTCACCGTAGTGCCATCCACGCGCTGCCAGACCTGGAAATCCTTGGTCACGGGCCATTGCAAGTGCTTCCTCACTGCAGCCTTGATAGTCTCTTCCTTCTGAGAGAAAAATGACCCGACAGTCCGTAAGGCCTGCGCCTCCACATCGAAAACTTGGATGAAATAATACACATGGTCCACCGGTGAAGCGGGTTCTAGCTCCATTGGAAGAGTAGAAACATCACCAGTTGTAGAAGACTCTCTGACTTCAATAGCTTGGGATACGCTCGTGACATCGTTGGTTTGCGGATTGTCAGTTGATTGCTCCGTTTCCATCTGTTGGATATCCCCAGCGATAATTGCAGCAATGACAGCATCATTTTCAGCCCCATTAGGGGCATCATTTTCGGGGTGACTTGTCTCCAGTGATGCTGCAGCATCTTCACCCGAGCTCTCGGTAACATTATTATTAGGGTGTTCAGAGGAGGTTTCTGCAGTCACGACCTGCACAGTGTCCTCCACGCGAGACGCGGTGCCAGATGGCCCCGCCCGTCCAGCTTCAACCTCAGCAACAGATTGCTGATCATCAGAGGAATCGGAGTCTTCACGTTCGAAAACAGCCTCTTCAGGCTTGTTCTGTAGGACTTCCACTTCCCGCGGATCGGCCATGGCAAAATACTTCGCGTCCACTATCACAAGATTAGTATCATCTTTGTCTAAGAGAGTGTACATGATGCTCACCATCTGACACCACTTGTATCCAGAAACGAGCTGTCTTCACGGGAAGATTCAATGTGGTTCTCAGGTCTGATACACGAGAAAACGCGAGTGTAGGACCGAACCGGTCGCGAGTATGCCCAATCTCCCAGAGGCGAACGTGCTCTGGACCTGTCTGATCCTGGGCGCCTGCAGAAGCCCATAAAGCGATCTTCTTGCGCAGCTCGATGAGGTTCGTTGACCGAGGCACTGTTAGGTACATGACTTTGTTGGCTGCCTTCGCCTGCGACATCAGATCGTATGTGTCGAACAAGCTGTCAAGCTTATCATATTGTGGCGCAGCGTAGACTTCGACCTGGATATCCTCCGTTGCCTTCCCATGGGACGACTCTACGTATGGATGAATTCCACGTTCGTAATATTCTTTCATAGCTGGAGGCGCATCCCATGGCCCTTGAGGGCCCGGTAGGTACTGTGACACCAGGTCACTGCGGATATACGTCACTGCGATGGCGACATCGTGGCCAGTTTTGTGGTCGACCTTCTGACTTGCGTCTAGACCTAGATGAGGACCCAAGGCCGTTTTACGTGTTAAACACTCGACACGGTTGTCGCTTCCGTCATCAAACGCCAGCCACTTAGTTCCAGGACCACCCGGGCGAAGAATGCTGAAGAATTTACCCGAAGTGCGTCGACCTCGATGGACGATGTAACCGTAAAGGACATACTTCCCGCGCTGACCATCTAGTAGCCATGGCGAGAGGTCTAACTCTTCGTCTAGGTCCACCCGATTGTAGATTAACCGCCATTGCCGAGCTGCTTTATCGAGCCTCTGGCGGCTTAGCTCCACATGGAGTATAGGCGGCAATGCCCAACGACCTGGTTTGGAACCCAGATAATTGCTGAGGGCTTCGCGCATCGTCTTTACCTGGTCGGCAGGCACACAGATACGGGAATTGTAATCCTTTGGGATAGTGTTGACTACATCCGATCCTTGAGCCTCCTGGAGAAGCAGATCAGGAGTTGGGCTGTCGAACAGCGCAGCCAAGTCTTTAGCCGCACTCGTACCTGCAAGTTCCAACTCGAGAGTGCGCCGCAAGCGTTCCCAGAACTCACATACATCTCCGGAGTACTCGTGCATATTGCGCAGCGTAGATGTAATAGTGTCAGTATCCACATACTGGAGAGAATTTTTACGGGAGCGTAACTGCCAGAGGAACCTCTGCAGTGCATCGCAGAGCGGCTTAGGTTTGACGTCACAGTTGGAGTGATGTTCCACGATATTGGCGTTTTGAATGATCTTGCAGAAAGGTGCAATATGTAACCATGTGGCTAGCCCCGCGACCTCGGCACTGTGATTGATAACGGAATCTCCGAGCGGGCGGTAACCAGTGAGCCCTAGACTATCCCATGTAGGTTCCGAATCACTGGCATGCCACCACAGTGAGTGAGTAGGATCGTCAATGATACGGATATAGGCATCAAACGCCAAGGTATCATTGCGGAGTAGTGCCTGACGCTGGCCCCGCTGCCGGCGGTGGATCTGGTCCCACGGACCATGGAAACTAGTCCAGCCCCAGTCAAGATTGTGTGGATTGAATTGATGACAAGATGACTGCATCCATCCTGTCCGTGGTTCATCTGGGTTGTATAAGATGACACCGATCTGCGCCGAAACTCTCCAAGTGTTGGACGTTGTCTTTTCTTCGTTAGCAGCCGGTGGGTACTGTGACTTGTAGTTCTCCAGCCAAGCTGCAGGGTCATCTGTGTGGGCAAACTTGAGGTTTAGGTCGGGAGTACGATCATTGATATCTCCATCAGCTGGACCCCGGAGCACTTTAAACTCGGTATCGGGTAGAGTCTTGTCAGGAGGGGGCATAGTGGGCGAGCATTCAATATAGATGCTCAGGGAACCAACATTGTTCCCGCGGGGAAAAAACTTAATGGACCACCAATAGCCGCCGATGTAGGCGGCTGGAGAGCGCATGACCTTGGCACGATTTGGATGATCTTTTGTGCCTCTAACACCATTGATTTTCCAGGTAAGGCGAGCCTTTTCAATGGGACGATACTCGGGATCGTCTAGATCCGGGTGAAAGTTTTTCTCCCAGTACGGATCTACTATTGTTAGTGATGTTTTCCAATGGTACCGACTGTGATTCTATGGGACTCACATTCATACGCACTATAGTCCCCATCCGCGGCAGACTCGATTTCCTTCATCTCAGCCTCGTCCGGGACCGAGGTATCCTCCTCCATCTCCGCCCAATAAGCATGTTCGACCTCCGGAGGTGGGGGTCGTGGAGGAGCAGAGGTGTCAGACTGGATGGAAGGCTCGTGCTCCTCAGCACTAATATCTTGAGATGAAGTATTGCGTTCTGGTACCAGGAGGGGAGATTCTATGGTGTTGTTCAATTGGCCTGTCGAAGACTCTAAAGCGTCGCTGATCGACGCGTCCAGAGCAACTGTCGTTGAACTTGTGTCTGTTGTTGAAGGTGGTTCAATATCTGGCATGACAGGAGGATGTTGCTCAACTGTGAACGTTGTCTCGTTCGTGGTGGTGTCCATTGTGAATGGAGAGTGGTAACACCCTATTGAGCTTTTAAGAGTGCTCGTAGGGAATTAACAAAGATGATCTCAGGAATTATAAGAGTCACACAAAGAGATACAAGGTAAGTAATAATAATAAAAAAAGGGGAGTATACGAGGGGCACAGGAGGAGGATGACTCAAAAACACAAGGGCTGGTTCACGTTGAGTAATAATAGTAAGAGACGGGAGATAGTAAGTGTTTATAGGTGCAAGCAAAACTCAAAAGCCAAACATTCAGACAGAAAACGGCTTCGCAAAGTGATACTCCTTTCGTCACTTCTACCTTAGGACGTAAGAGTCCGTAAAGAAGAAGAGATTTAGCGGTTCAACAAAAATAAGAGGACAAGGAGAACTGGCAGAGCAAACGACGAAGCAGAAAGCGAGAGTCTAGAATTCCCCCCGATAAGGATGGCTTATCAGTAGTATGGGGCAGTCTAAGCCTAGGAAGGAAATGACAGCAATGGATTGCTGAAGGAGTGTTAATAAGAAGGATGTTCACCACCGGGCAAAGACGGGCCAAAGA